TCTACCTTCTTCTTTCACTGGTGGGGCTCGAAATATGATTCAGAACTATCAGGATGCAATGGCGATATGCAGATGGGCAGGTTATCCCGATCTTTTTATAACATTCACATGAAACCCAAAATGGCCCGAGATCCTTCGCTTTTTAGGCCCACAGAACTTACGTCCTGAGAATCATCCCGATATCGTATGCAGAGTGTTTAGATCAAAATTAAAGCAGTTGATAAAGGATTTTCGTGAGAAACAAATATTTGGTGAAGTCAAAGCAGGTATGATCATTCTTTTCAAAATTTAATTTCATGCCATTTGAATTCGTTTACAGTGATATTCATAATTATTTGACATTTTTATCTTTTCTTTTTCAGTTGTATACACTGTTGAATTTCAAAAACGCGGATTGCCTCACGCCCATATACTGCTTTTTTTAACAAAGGCAAACAAGTTTCCCGATCCTTCCGACATAGATAAGATTATATCTGCTGAGATACCTGATGAGACCTCTGATCCTTATTATTATGAAGCTGTAAAGGAACACATGATCCACGACCCGTGTGGACTGGCCAGAAAGAATTCTCCGTGCATGGTTGATGGGAAATTCAGTAAACGTTTTCCGAAACCATTTCTTGAATTAACTTCTGTTGATGATGAGGGCTATCCGCGGTACAGGCGTAGAGACAATGGAAGGCATATAGAGAAAAAAGGTGTAGTTGTCCATAACGGTTTTGTCGTGCCCCACAATCGAAAATTGTTGATGAAATATGGTGCTCACATAAATGTTGAGTGGTGCAATCAGTCTCGATCCATCAAGTACCTGTTCAAATATGTCAATAAGGGCAACGATCGTGTCACCGCATCATTTTATCAGGCGAGTGGAGACGGAGAGCCGGACAAACCTGTTGACGAGATTAACATGTTCTACGACTGTAGATATGTTTCTTCTTGCGAGGCTGCTTGGAGGTTGTTGGGTTACGAACTTCAGTACAAAAAACCTCATGTACAACGTTTGAGTTTCCATTTGAAAGGCGAACATTACGTTATCTTTGAGGATGATGATCGGATTGATGAGGTTATTAGTAAACCCACTGTAAATGAAAGTCAATTTTTGGCATGGATGGAAGCGAACAAGATTTATCCTGAGGCGAGAAAACTTACTTATGTCGAGGCACCATCCAAGTTTGTTTGGAACAAAACGTTGAGAGAGTGGACTCCTCGGATCAGAGAACGCGCTATAGCCCGTCTGCGTTATGTTCCTCCTAACGCTGGCGATAATTTCTATTTGAGGTGCTTGGTTAATGTAATACGCGGAGCAACTTGCCACGAGGATTATATGAAGGTCGACAACGTTCAATATTCATCGTATCGTGATGCTTGCCATGCCATGGGTTTGTTGGGTGACGATCGTGAGTACATTGATGGGATATCTGAAGCAAGTCATTGGGCATCTGCTGATTCTCTCCGACGTATGTTTGCAACGTTGTTGGTCTCGGGATCTTTAGGTAGACCCGAGCACGTATGGGAAACGTGTTTGGATTTTCTCTCTGATGACATCACTTATAGGCAACGTATTCTCTTCAATAATGAAAGTATTTATTCTTTATTTATATTTTATTGTTTAATTTATTATTTTTCATTTCCTTTTTATTAGTGTATTCGATTTTTATAAAATTATGTCTTCAATTCCGTTTCTTTTGTTAGGCTTGCAGCTCAGTGATGCAGACAAAAAGAATTTAGCTCTCGCTGAGATCGAACATTTGTTGAGACGTCGCGGCACGAGTCTTCGGGAATATCCAACAATGCATTTTCCTGATATGACAAGTTTTACTACAAATACAAATCGTTTGATTCTTGATGAGCTAAGTTATGACCGCAAGGCATTATCAGTCGAGCACAGTACTCTTATTAGAAACATGACTGACGAACAAAAAGGAATTTATTCAAAGATTATGGAAGCGGTACACTCGGGTCAAGGCGGTGTTTTTTTTGTCTACGGTTATGGCGGAACCGGCAAGACATATTTGTGGAGAACTTTAGCTGCGGGATTACGATCAAAGGGTGAGATCGTGCTTTGTGTTGCATCGAGTGGAATAGCTTCTCTTCTGTTGCCCGGTGGAAGAACTGCACACTCTCGCTTTGG